AACTAAATATCCTGTCAATTACTCAGCAGATTATGATAAAAGGATTCTAGAAGTCAGGTAGAGGGGACAGCTGGCTGGAGACCTCAGGACTTGTGAACAACTTGGTCAGTTCCTTGAGTTTTCTTATTATCCCCCATATCCTTGGACTGGGTGTTGGAGAGGACAGCATGTGGTCTGATCCACTAGCAGCAGTGACAGCAGCAAAGGACCTGGGCCATCCCAAACCTGCCTCCACAACGAGTGTACCAACAAACATTTCCATGTACCTTTAGTGGCAGTAACAGAAAGCCCTTTGAAATCATAAAGAGTATATTCTCCAATGACAGTGGAATCAAATTAGAAATTAATAACAAAAGGAAATTTGGAAATAAAAAGCTTATTGAATGGACTCTATTGTTAGATAGGAATTTAGGTATATGTCTGTTATATTGTGGAGATGACAAGATAGACTTAGTAAACTTGAAGACAGATCAATAGAATTTATTCAATCTGAGCAACAGAAAAAAATAGACTGAAAAAAATTAGCAGAGCTTCAGTAATATGTGGGACAATAAGAAAAGGGCTAACATTTACATCATCAGAGTCCCAGAAAGAGAGGAGAAAGAATATGGACTGAAAAAATATTTGAGGAAATAATGATTTAAAACTGCCAAAATTTGGCAAAAGATATAAACCTACAGATCCAAAAAGCTTAGTGAGCTCCAAATAGGATACATCCCCCCAAAAAACATTTATCAAGAGACATCGAAGGTAAACTTCTGAAAACTAAAGACAAAACAAACAAACAAACAAACAAACAAGCAAAAAAACAAACAAACAAGCAAAAACCCCAAACCAAAACTAAAAACAAACCCTCAAAAATAGCCAGACAGAAACAATGCATTACCTATAAAGGAACACCAATCTTAATTACAGACTTTCTCATTTTGAAACCATGAAGGTCACAATTAAATGGCAGAACATTTTTCAAGTGCTAAGAAAGCAAATAACCCATCTAAAAATTGGGCAAGAGAATTGAATGAACATTTATCCAAAGAAGATATACAAATGCCAAGTGAGCACATAAAAAGATGCTCAACATCATCAGTTTCTAGGTAAATACAAATTAAAACCACAACCCTTCATACCCACTAGGAGGGCTATCACAAAAAAGACAGACAAGTAACAAGTATTAGAGAGTGCAGAGAAATTAAAACTCTCATACATTGTTGGTGACTGTGTAAAATGGTGTAGCCATGTTGGAAAACTATTTGGAAGGTACAAAAAATGGATAAGCATAGAATCATCATATGATCCAGCAATTCCACTCCCGATTATTTCCTCAAGAGAAATGAAAGCATGTCCACACAAAAACTTGTACACAAGTTTATAGTAGCATGTTCATAATAGCCAAACAATAGAAATAAATTAAATGCCCATTGACTAATGAATGGATAAATAAAATGTATATACATACAATGAAATTCTACTGAGCTATTTAAAGAAATGAAGTATTGATATAATTTGGTGCAGCAAGTACTGTATGACATGGACAAATCTTGAAAACACAGTCACAGAGGACCATATAGTGTATAATTATGTTTTTCTGAAACATCCAAACTAGACAAGTCTATAAAGATAGACAGTAGATGGCTTCACGAAAGATATCCATGCCCTAATCCCTGGAACCTGTGAGTGTGACTTCATATGGTGAAAATGGGCCTTTGCAGATGCGATTAAGTTCAGGATTTTGAGATGGGGAGATTATCCTACATTATGTGCATGGGTGCTAAATGCAATTACATGTAGCCTTATAAGAAGAAAGCAGAGGAGGATTTGAACACCCAGAGGAGAAGGTAATATAATGATGGAGCAGAGAGAGTTTGGAGATGCCGGCCTTGAACACTGGAGTGACAAAGTCTCAAGCCAAGGAATGTTAGCGTCCACCTTAAACTGGAAGAGACAAGTGGTGGATTCTTCCTTAGAGTCTCCAGAGGAACCGCAGCCCTGCCAATACCTTAATCTTGGTCCAGTGATACTATTTCAAATTTCCGGTCTCCAGAACTGTCAGAGAATAAGCCACCAAGTTTGCAGTAATCGGAAACTAATACAGGGTGTGACTGCTAATGGGTATGAAGTTTCATTTTTGAGTGAAAATGTTGTAAAATTGAATTGGGGTGATGGTTGTATAACTTAGTGAATATACTAAAAACTACTGTACTGTACACTTTAAATGAGTCAATTTTATATTATGTGAATTATATCTTAATAAGGCAGTTAAATAAATCTTTGTGACCTTGGGTTAAGCAAAAAATTCTTCGATCTGGCACATGAAGTATGATTTTGAAAAATGGTATCAAAATTAAAACGTTTTGCTCATGAAAGATCCTAATAAGAAAATAAAACAGATTGGGAAAAATTGGCAATACACATATTTAATTAAAGAATACATCAGAATATATAAAGAGCTCTCAAACATCAAAAATAAGAAAACAAACAAAAATGAGGAAGAGAATTGAACAGACACTATCTTAAAGAAGATATATTGATGGCAAATAAGTACAATAAAAGATGCTTAATATCATTAGAGAAGTGCAAAATAAAACCACAATGAATACTACTACACACCAATTAGAATTGAAGGATAAAACCAACACCTGACAATATCAAATGCTAGCAAGGATAGAGAACAAAAATCTGGAACAAATGCAAAATGGTAGTAGAGAAGCAAAATGCTGGTAGAAGTGCAAAATGGTGCAGCCTCGTTGGAGAACGATGTGTCAGGTCCTTTAAAATTAAACATAATCTTACCCTACAACACAGCAATCCCACTCTAGGTATTTACCCAAGTGAAATGGAAACCTATGTTCATACAGGAACCTGCGTACAAATGTTTGTAATAGTTTTACCTAGAATAACCCCAAACTGGACACCAACCTGAATGTCCTTCAACTGGGATATGGATAAATAAATTGTGGTTCACCCATACAATGGGATCTTACTTTGCAACAAAAAGGAACAAACTGTTGATACACCCAACACACATCTTTAATAAATTATGTTAAGAAAGAAGCCATATTATATCATTCTATTTTTATAACATTCCGGAGAAGGCAAAACTATAGAGGGGGAAAAGAAACTAAGAGTTTGCTACTAACAAGTTAGAGTTGGACTGAGGGCAGGGTAAGGGGATGACTACCAAGCGACATGGGAAACTTTAGGGGGTAATGGAATGCTTCCATATGTTGATAATGGTGGTGGTTACAAATCTCTGTGGGTTTTGTCAAACTCCCAGGATCTCCCACCGAAGAATGATCTTTCCTCTATGTAAATCAAACCTTACTTTTTTAATGGAAATAGAAAGAAACAGAAAACAATAATATGGTATTAAATAATTTTGTACAAAAAGCCTAATGTATACACATTTTTAGAGATTTTGATAAATCCCTCCAAATTTCACTCAAGAAGCATCAAATCCAGTTTATACCTCCTCTGTCAGAGGAATTGAGAATGTCATTTTATATACTTTCATCAACACTGCTATCACAGTGATGGTACTTTTCACAATGCTTCACTCAGTGCTGAGGACACAGCAGCGGCTTAATAGCAGGTTTGATTTCAGGCTCACGAAGTCCTGGCCCCACCCACCCCAGGGATAAATGAGATCTTGTCTGCTGAAGTCATTTAGTGGGCTAATGGAGGAAAAGAAGGAAGAAAGATGCCATGTGTGTTGGGAGGTGAGATAGCCTCTGAACTCAGGGATCTGAAGACTGAGGGAGAAGAATGAAAAAGGAAGAGTGGATGAGGAAAGCATAATAGGTCTTCTGGGAGCTGAGAGGTCTGAGGTGACAACTATATCTCATTCCTGTAACCCCAACACTTACCACCATGCCTAGCATGTAAGATTGGAAGAACAAACACATAAAGAAATGAACAAATGAGTAAGTTAAAAGACTGAAAGTTTGGGGTCAGCAAAGATGAAGCTTCCTTAGTTTGGGAATTGGGAGTTCAAACTCGGTTTAAGACTGTGGCCTTGCAAATTTGATGACTTTTTACTGAGTCTCATCAAAGGAGAAGAAAGTTGGCATAGGTGAATGGGGGAGCACTCATCCTCATGGGGCTCCACTTATATCCCCACATCCCAAAGGAGCAGATGACACAGCTCTTGGCTGTCAGCAGTATATCCTTCTGATTCTCAGCCCTGGGGACTAAGCGAAGGGTGGGGTCTTGGGCCAAATGCTGGGTCATTTCAGCTGGAGCCCGGGCGGCTGTATAGGCGAGATAGGGTTGAGTGAGAGGAAGTTGAGTGGGCATGCCTGTGTGCTGGCTGGGGGCCAGAGCTAGGGGAAGAAGGGGCTGGGGGTGTGGTTTCTAGTGAAGAGGTGGGGGAAGGGAAAGATCTGATGTTGCTTGAGGAGGCTTGTGAGAGGGAGCAAGAATTTTGAGAGAACTGGTGGTTGAGGAGGCAAGACAGCAGGGCAAGTAAGTAGAGGGATAGAGAGAAGCAGACATGCTAGTAGCGAAAAGGAGAGGCTGCTGGTGTGTGTGGTTGTGTGTGAGAGTATGTGTATATGTGTGTGAGCGCGTGTGCATGTGTGAGTGCACAGGAACCCTAATTTTAAGCTCTGAGTTTTACCGTTTGCCTTTTTTTACCCCTGACACTCTAACCGTGACAAAAATAAGATTGCATTTGAGTGTGTAGGGGGTTACTTGCAAATATGAGCATGAGTGACATTTCTGATCAGCCAGGAATCAGAGAGAGAGAGAGAGAAGGAGAGGGGCAAGGCACCAGAGTGAATGTATTTAGTGAGGGATGAATGAATGAATGAATGAATGAATGTGAGTTTACAAGAACCTCCTTGTGAATGTGTTTGTAAAAAATGTAGTATTCAAGATGTCCTTCCCTAGCCGCATAGCTTCTAGCCCTGGATCTCTGAGTCCAGAAGATTCCAGGGAAGTCTATACTTGAGGTTCTAGAAACTTCCCACCAGCGTCTATGTGGATCCCTTGTCTCAGAATAGGAAGCACACCTATTTGTACCAGTTTCCAGGAGGGAATCCAGAAAGCCTCCGGCTCACAGAGTCTTCTGACCCTGTGAACCCTCCCAGGGCTGGGGGCCCAGACTGGGTGGAGCAGCTGCACCTGCCTGAAGTTTCGAGGAAGAGGGCAGAAACAGCAGCCGGCACCGCCCTCTCGTAGGATCCTGCGGTCTGCTGGTCACATGACTTCTTCACTTCCCTAAATGTGCAACTTCACTTTTAGAAGCCCAGGTTCTTCTCTGGCAGACCCAAGTGGCCCATCCTGCATCGGCCTGGAGCCTTAATCTTGGATCTCGGGGGTATCTTGGCCCCCTGCTGGCCTCTGACTGACTGCACCTGGATGGAGCCATGGGTCCTCCATTCCTTTCACTGCTGCTGCTGCTGCTGCTGCCTTGGCTCCAGGGTTGCCTCTCAGGTGAGAAGGTGGGTGGGTTTGGTTAGGTGGGAGGGAATAGCCTTTTCCTGGACTCTCCCTCCCCATATTTTCTTGTCCAATGATCTTATTTAATATTTTGTGGAGTGGATGGAGGGGGAGGAGGAGGTTGGGCTAACCTAAGCAGCTCCTTACCAGAGACCAGCGAGAAGTTTCCATCTGAATTCCTGGCCCCAGGCAAAGCTAGGCCAGATATCACAAACTAAAATAAATCTCTGGACCCTCTCTGCATGGATCCCTTTATCTACCGTTCCTCAGGACCTCTGACCAGGGACACTCAAGTTCCTCACGCAAAAAGCCTTCTTCCCTTGGTCTCTGTCAGGAAAGCCCTGTTTGGTTGTTACGGGAATCATTGCATCATGTGCGTGTGCTTTGAACTCGCCTTTTCTCAGAATGCTGATGCCACTACCCACTGTCCTGAGGGGAAGCAATCCCTGAAGCCCTCTTCCACTCCACAGCAGCTGATGTTCATTGAGTGGGGCCTCACCCAATCCTGCCTCCTTTGCTACCATGGCAACCAAGTTACCACTTCCTGCTCAATTCTGGGCATGGTGGGGGTTGGCAAAACCCACTCCTCACTGCCTGTGAGAGAGGTAGAAGGGGGACAGAAATGAACACAGTACCCCGGAGACCATTTCAAAGGTTACCACACCCGTGGCCCTCCCCCAGAGAGGCCCCTTCCTCTGTCAGGGCAGGAGAGTGTCTCCTGTCCCGAGCCATCTTAGGGTCCCCCTAACTTCCCACTCGCCAAATAATTGAGTTGGATCATTCTGTTTAGTTAGCTTGGGAAAAAGTGATGCCCAGGGAGGGTGTTACCTTACTCCGAGTCTTAGCTATAGTAGCAGCTGCGTTGGAAACTGAGGCAGATGTCTTGAGTGCTAGGTCCTTGGTTATCACAGCTGTGGGCTCCAGTGGAGAAGTCTGGAGCAACCTGCATTTGGGAAAAGGAAGCATACACTGAGTGCAATGAATGTACAATGTGTTCAAGGCATTGTACTGGGGGCATAGTCCTCATAGCCAACCTGAGACATAAAGAAACAGATGTTAAGTGATCTGCTCATGAAGTTAGTCAGTGGTAGAACCAGAGTTTTAATCCATGTTTATTTAGACTCCAAAATGCGTGCTTTCTCTTCTGTCCTACTGGGGAGTAACTTGTGCTTATGTGTTTGTTTGCAGAAGGCTCTCGGGGTATCAGGGAGCAAGCGCTGAGCTTATGGCAGGCACAGGGGTGGAGGGATCCCATCCCAGCTTTCTCTCTCTCCCTGTCCCCTGATTCCCCACTGCTGAGCTAACTCTACTTACTCTCTCTCCGCCAGACTGTGGATTAAGAAGTGCAAGGACCACGTCTTATTCCTAGGCATAGAGTGCAGCATATTGCAAATGAACAGTGAATAATCATAGAATTTTTTGGCTTGCACACTGTCAGGAGTTTATATGCACTTTGGGGCATATTTAATCTATGGGTTTTAATCTATGTAACTAAGATATTTTAAAGTTAAACACCACATAGAATGAACTGAGACAAGGTGCTATTTAAAAGATGTCTATTGTGAACCTATTTGTGAAATACATAACTACTCTTAATTTTTTAAAAAATATGATTGGGTGTCCTTCTCTAATTAAGTTGTTTGTGCTCTGGAATTTAGTGACTTGGGTTTGTGCCTGTGCATTTGTCTCATTGAGAGCAAGTCCTGGGACTTTTCCACAAGAAGATAGGATTTAGCACTCTCCCATCAGACTAGAAAATACCGTGAAGAAAGGGGCTGTATCTTTTGGGGCTTCCTGTCTATCAGGCCTGAGGACTATGCCTGTGTCTCCACCATCTGACTGGAAATACTCTCAGAGTTAGGCTATGTTTCTCCCTCAGACTGTGAGTCCCATGACAGCAGGAGAATAGTCACCTCCTCTCCCTTCATCACGAGTTTCAAGTTTCAAGATGCCTCCTTCTCCTCTCTTGTCAGACTTTGCTTAACAAATTGTGTTTCCTCAGGTACCTCTGTCGAGAGTGTGTACTCCAAGGTGCAGCATTTTGAAGGGGAGACTCTGTCTGTGCAGTGCTCCTACAAGAACCGCAAAAACTATATGGGGAGCAAGGTTTGGTGCAAAATCAGGAAGAGGAGGTGTGAGCCCGGCTTTACCCGTGTCTGGGCACAGGGGCCGCGCTACTTGCTGCAGGACGATGCTCAGGCCAAGGTGGTCAAAATTACCATGGTGGCCCTCAGGCGCCAGGACTCGGGCAGGTACTGGTGCATGCGCAACAGCTCCGGGACCCTCTACCCTCTGATGGGCTTCCAGCTGCAAGTGTCTCCAGGTGAGGAGGCCTGCTGGGACACTGGGATGGTGGGGGTGTCCTCCGTGTCTTGCACTCCACTAACATCAGATACAATAAGAATAATAATCCATTAATGGGCATATTGTACAGTAGGGTTTTCACAGTTCTTTTATAGACATTATCGCTACCATTTTATAGGTGAAGAAACTGAGATCTAAAAATGCCTACGTGCCTCTGACCTTGTCCAAGGTCACAGAGCTAGCAAGTGGCTGAGGTGAGATTTGACTTCAGGGCTCTGTGCTTTGTTTTATTCAATCATCTGTTCTACGTATATTCATTGAGCCCCGATTATGTGCCAGCCACTATTCTAGGCTCTTAGGATAAAGTGATGAACAGAAACAGACACAATTCAGCTCTGTGGAAGATGGCATGCAGTAGCGCAACATCGGACAAACAATTGCAGATAGCAGTAGATGCTCTTAAGAAAATAAAACAGTGTTATAAACTAGAAAGTAACTTGGTGGGAGAAGCTGCAGAGGTGCCGGGGTTCAGAAAAGACCTTCTTGAGTAGATGACATCAAGCAGAGCCCTAAATGATGAGAGCTTTTCAACGCTGTTGAAATGTGGGTGCTTCCAAGGGCATTCCAGGTAGAGAGAACTATATGTGCAAAGGTCCCGAGGTGAGAAGGAGCTGGGCCAGTATAAGACAGGCCTGTATGGCTAGTCCATGTTGAGTGTGGGGGGCAAATGATAGGAGATAAGTTTGGAGAGTCAAATAGCAGCCCTGAGGCACATGATAATGAAGTCTGAGTTTTATTCTAATAGGATCTAGAGCTATTGGAAAGCTTAGAGGGGTGTGTTGTAGCTTATCTTTAAGACAATAATGGCTTCTGGGTGGAGGATAGATTGTGGAAAGGTAAAAGGGATGGGCAGAGAAACCCATTGTGGGCATCTTGACTGGAAATGACAGTATCTTGGAATAGAACGTGGGCCCTGAAGGTGGAAGGAAGTATGTGGGGCTCAAAACTATGATGGTCAGACTTCCTGCCCACCCTGTATGTGTTTGAGGTAAGACAGGATATGATCATATGGGAGGTGAGTAAAAATGAGAAATCAAGGATGACTCAAGGTGTTTGGTGGTACCAAATATTGGGTAGGGTAGATCTAAAAGAGGAGCTAGTTTAGAGGGGAAAAAATTAAGAGCTCCATTTTGTCATGTTAAGTTGAAGATACCTCCTAGGACCTCAAGTGAAGAAATGCATCAGGCAGTTGATATATCACCCTGGAGCTTGGGTGAGAGGTCAAAGCTGCGGATATATGTGAAAGTATCTCTATAAAGATAGTTTAAAGTAAAGGGGATTAGAGAAATCTGTAGAGATGGAAAGTGGATTAGTGGATCCTTAGAGCTGGGAGGAAAAATGTGTAATAGAGGATAATGGCTAAAGGGTGAGGGGTTTCTTTTTGAGATGATGAAACTATTCTAAAATTAACCGTGGTGATGGTTGCACAACTCTGTGAATATATAAAAAAAACATTGAATTTAACACTATAAATGTGCATATTATATGGGATATAAATTATATCTCAATAAAGTTCTTTAAAAATCAAGGAGCTATAACTCTCTTGAGCATAGAAAAAGAGAGGCGGGCCAAGGACCTAGCCTCAAGGTCCTCCCACATTTATAGATAGGAAAGGGAGAAAAGCCAATGAAAGAGCCTGGAAAAAGTAGCCATGATTATGAAATTCATTGTCTACTTTTTCCTGTTCCCCTAACCCAACTGTGTCCCCATTTTCCGTTGGATCTGAACTAGGCAACTGCTGTCTCTAAGATGTGGAGCCAAATCTCATTTCTCCACTCTCTAGGTCTGATTTAGACCCAGGAAGTAGTCGAAACCAGTTTATTGAAGTCTTAATTTATAGGGATGTGAACATGAGATGGTTTTATTTTTCTCCTAGCATATCTGCCCATTGTACTGTGTCAAAACTTACTTTCCATTTCCAACTTTGCAGACTTTTTCATTTATTAGGAAGTAAAAAATCCTCAGCACAACGAAAAACTTAAATCTTTTAGCAATATATGCTTTTTTCTACTTCCCTCTGAAGACCAGGTTTCATGGCCCAAGGTACCTCAGGTGGGGAAGGGGTGTAGCCTGCTGTATAACTCCTCCTCCTTTATCTCAGTAGGTGGGGCAGGGGGCGTGTTCTTCTTGGTCATCTTTTCCTGGTCCTCCCTCTCCCAATTCCTTGGCGTACTGGGGCAGGAATGAGGAGAAGGAAATGATGTGTGACTTCATTGACCCTTATAGGACTTCTCTTTTTGTTGGATGTCACTTCTTTTCTGCCCAACCCTTGAGATCCTCTATGAGGTGTGTTCAAATGCTGGCTCTCCCAAGGCACCTATGTGCAAATTCTTTGAAGTGTCCTTTGGGGATCTCCCCACTGCTGAGTAGAATGATGTGGGAGATCTGGCTCCAGGTCAGTGTCTTCCCCTACTGCTCTCACCAGTGTCACTTGTTCTGGGTTCCCTTGCCCAGAAAAACAGGCACCTTACATGGTGACCACCCCGACCTCAGGAACACCTCCTTGCCATGGGATGCCTCAGCCCTCTTTTCCTCACCCTGCCACCACTCTCCAACTTTTTGTTCCCTGCAGAGAAAGGCCCAACACTGCCCCCTAGATTGGATCTCAAACCACAGCTCCCTTCTCCCTCACCATCTGAATTCCAGCTTCCTTCTAGAAAATGGGATGGTTAAGGGATGGGTTGATGGACCAGGGTAGCAGGACTGTTTGGGTGTCTCTTAGAAAGCCCCCAAGGAAGATGTCTGACCAAGTTATTTGCAGCGTCCTTTAGAATCTGGGCCTTTGATGTTTCCTTGTCCTCATCTCTGGACCCCAGTCACCAATTATGGAGCAACTGGAAAAGTCCCTGTTCAACATCATGGTAGAGAAATCTCTGACCCACAAGAATGAGGAGGATCTGGAAGTGACAGGAGGGAGATGGGGAGGGGTGCGGGGAGTGTCCTCTGGGCCCAGGAGGTCTGGCAGGGGAGGCTAAAGGAAGTGTGAACGTTTCTTCCTTTTTTACTGTGCCTACTTCTTCTCCTTGACATCACCCTCTGAACAAACACATACCTGGTTACTCAGCAAACAGGATCTTGGGTCCAAAGTCAAGGAGGGGATATGAGGACAGGCCCCACCCAGGCATCCAAAGAGCTGTGTAGTTGCCAGGATCTGCTTCTAGCACCAAGGCTCCCAACTCAGTCTAACATTCCTCCCTCTCTGGTCCCTCAGCCCCCACAACCAAAAGAAACACTCCTCTTACACAGCTGGCCAACATCCTCAAGCATGGAATTGTCGTCACAACAGGCCAAGTCCCTACCTCAGGCCCTGATGCCCACTTCACCACCAATGTGATGATGTTCACATCTGGAGTCCTCACCTTGGCCAGACCTTTGCCCTCCACTGCCTCAGAGACCATCAGACTGACCTCTATGACGGGCTACAGCTTCACCAGCCCCTCCACCCCAGATCCCGGAAGGATCACGGGACTCCAGACTGTGACTGCATCTCCCAGCAATGACAGAGCCTCCTCTGCTGGTCCAGCATCCTTCTCTACCAAAGCAGGGCACCTGCACACCAAATCGCCCGCCACGAGAATGTACCATACCAGCAGCTCTCTCCTCAACAAATTATCCCCCATCAGGTACCTGTGGGTCTTGGGGTTGAACGACATTTTACCAGGCATGGCAACAGTTCTCAGTTGCCTGAATGGACCTCAAGGTGCAAATGTTATAGCAGACTTCCTCTTTCATCTCCCAGAAACTCAGTCTGGACTGTTGCTGAATTGGGTGGTGGGAGACTGGAAGCTGGGATGGAGATATTACATAAAGGATGGCCATGGAAAATGAGGATAGGGGATGATGGGTCAGCATAAGGGTCTGTGGATGGAGAGAAGAGGGTAGGGACAGGACAAGGAGGTGGCTGGGAGAGTGGGAAGTAGGAAATGGGGGATGTGTTAATTTGGGTTCCCCCAGAAGCAGACTCTGAGACTAGGATTTCTGTCATTTTTGGAACACTAGGAAAAGTATGGAGAAGTGAGACAGAGAAGGAGAGGCAGCTGACAAAATACTTAAGCTGCTACCACTGTAGGCAGCAAGAGCTCAGTCCCACTGGGGAAACTCTGGGGTCCAGTGTCAAGTAGCCACCTGAAGGGCACGGGAACTGGGGTATTTATATACCTACTCCTGTCGGTCATTGGTAGGGGGCTGCCTGCCATGTGTGGCGTGAAAGGCACCAGTGATAAAAGAGAAAGTGCTTAGGCCAAAAAATATTTAAATGGAAGTGCTGACAACAGGTATACACGGAGGTGATAAAGGGAAGGAATATAGGCAGGGCACCTATAGTATCTGTTATAGATGATGAAGGTGGGAAGACTCATCCTCTGTCACTGTAAGGAGAACAAGCACTTTGGCCTCTGGTCACAAATGGGGGTCTCTTAGAGTCCTTGCCATCAATGATGAGCAGATTTGGGAGAATAATGGAGGAGAAGCACTAAAGTGGAGAGATGCTCCCCTCCACCTGGAGACTTTATCCCCTAAACTCTGAGCACTTCACTTCCTTCTCCCACAGCTGGGTCTCCAAGTGAGAGAGTCTGTCACACCCCACAGGGGCTGTCAGGGTTTCCCCTGGTTGAACTCCTCACGTGTGGTGTGCAAAAAGATGTGGGTCAGTGTGGAGGAACCTGGTGCTCACATCCCCATTCTGTCCCATCTCCTCAGGCACCAGAATCCATATCCCGTTGTGCTTGTGGGGGTGCTGACCTTCCTCTCAGTGCCTGTGATGTTGATCGTGGTCTATGGGTTCTGGAAGAAGAGACACGTGGCAAGTGAGTAGAGCCCATCCTCCCAGACTCCTGTGGGCAGAGAACATGGGGCTCGACACACTTTCCAAAGCTCCTGTGTGAACTTGGTCCCCAGGTGGTGTGTTCTCCAGTGTGTCGAGTCAGGACTGTGAGGCAACCAGGTGAGGGAAGAGGGTGGGCAGGCAGGAACAGCATAGCAAAACCCTCCAGGGCTGACATGGCAGGAAGTGGAGGGCAGAACCAGAAGAGGGGCTGAACTAGCCCAGGTGCATGGGTGTTGATGAGCAGGATCCCCACCCTTCATCTCTCTTCCTGGTCCTCACAGGCTACAGCATATGCAGGGATTCCGCTAGACCCTGGAAAGAACCGCCAGGAAGACCGGAGCCTCCCTGGAAGCCTGCTTGGTCTAAGGCCACTCATGGTGTTGGGGAGCTTCTCCCAGAAGGGCCTGTGGAGGCCAGAGGAGTGAAGATGGGGACCTGTCTGGATTGGAGCCAGGTTGGGGGGTGAAGACTTAAGCAATGCTGGACTCATGCCTTCCCAGAACCAGATGCTGCACTTTACCTGCTCAGTCTCCCTGGGCTGCAAGGAACTGGGGAAGGGGCCCAGAGCAGAGGGCACCAGGCAGTTAGTCCTGGGGGAAGCCACCAGAGGCATTCTGCTCAGAGCCACAGATCCCCCGGCCCCTAGCTGGATGGTGGAAAAGCCCTGATGGTGCCGTTTATAGACAGAGAGCCTCAGCTCCTGTCGGCCTCAGAACCCCTTACTGTCAAGCTAAAGAGAGCGGGGGTGGGGTGGGGTGGTGGACAGCTGCCCTCTCCCCACCAGAGCCCTGTGTCCTCTGCTTCCTTCTGCTCTCCTCAAGCTTTCCCATGCACTTGGGGAAGAAAGAGCCTCTGAGGCAGTTTATGTCCCAACAGCCCACCCTAGAGGAGAGACTAAGAGCTGGGAGTCCACAGAAGCATCGGCAGCAGGGGACCCCAGAGCTGTCCAAGTCCCATCTCTGCCCAAGCCCCGCCCTCAGGCCATTCCTTTCTGAACTAGCCACTTATCCATTAAGTCCTGGGAGATGGAAGAGCCCACACTCTCACTGCTGCCACCTGGTGACCTGCCTTTCCTGGGAAAGCTCTGATGGGGCAGCTGAGATCAACAGCAGGACTAACCTGTCCCCAGCCTGGGGTGCATAGGCTGAACTCAGGGATCTCTCCCCCAGTTTCTATAACTAGACTCCAGGTCTGAGCTCCTGGAGGGGACTGAAGGCCCTCCAGAACCCACTGAAGGGGGACCGTGACTCAGAGAAAGAGGGGATCACCACACCACCCCTAACCCCATCCCCAAGGGCTCATTTTCCCCTGGGAAGAGAGGAACCTCCTGTGAGACAGCAAACACAACTCAGAGCTGACCACAGCCTGGAGGACTGCCTGGTAAGGGTGGGGTGGGGAGGGGCGAGGGAAAGGATGGAGCCAAGTAGCCTGGGCCCAATGGCCAGATGAGTCTGGCTTATGACTCAGATTGGCCTCTTCAGTGGTGAAGGTTGGAGAGTACAGGCTAGATTCTTCCCCTGGAAGATGAGAGTCCACCAGCCTGGAGTAACTGAATAAGAACCTGAGATAGAATAAGTACTCTTGGTCCTGGGCCAGGGACCTCCCAGGTGGGAGAGCAAACATCATAGTCAGGAGAGTGACACAGCTGGAGCCTTGGGGGGGCCACTCCAGGATGGATATGGCAGGGAGAGGAATGGGGCAAGGGATAATCCTAGGGGAATGCAGGAAGGAGGCACCTCTTCCCTATGTCCAAGAGAGGGCACTAGAGGGGAGACTCAGATTGAGGAACTGACTGGCCTGGTGACAGGAAACACACCTATAGGATGGGTGTGGCCACCACTTGGTGTGTAACTAGGAGTCTTAACTCACGTAGGGGAAAGTAGCTCTCCAAGAGCTCACCTCTGTCCATTACCCTATAGCAGCACCCTGACTGCCCTGCCTCCTCGAGGAGCAGGATGTCTGGTGTGGGAGCACCGCAGAGGGTTCAGGACTGGGGCTCAGGGGTGCCACTTGTCCTGTGTGACCCTGTGCAAGTCACTAACCTTATCGGGCCTCATTTTTCCTCTCTTGCGAAAGGGGACACTAATTCCTACCTCAAAACTGTTTTCTGAATAAAATGAAAGAACGTGAACCTTATACAATTGTGTAAGTGCCTCATGATTATTGGTCCTTTTCAAGTTCTAATATTGCTTGTCACATTTTACTTTTAAGACCTTTGGACCCTATTTCTCTGTTTTGTCCTCGATTGTAAGGGGATAGGGAGGGTGGAGGGGAACATAGTCCCCAGGTGGTGGGTGCTGGACCCAGGCAGAGGCCTTGGTTGTGCCCCAATGTCAGATAGGGTAGTTGTCAGGGTGACCACTGTCCCTGTTTTCCCAGGATGAGGGGGTCCTGTGACCACGTAGACCTGCATGTGCTGCCTATTCACGGAGTCTGCTCCCACATGAATCTGTGGTAAGGAAGGACCTAGGGTGCTGAGGAGGAGGTATACACGCCTTGTGCCCCAGCTCCCCAGCTCCCCAGCTCCCCAGCTCCTGTGGGCCTAGGTGGAACATATTCTCCAAACCTTGGTCTCTTATTTCTTCCCTCCTCTTCTCAACCTTCTCCCCCAAACTCCAAGGGGACCCAGATCCTGGCAGATCCAGAGCAGGGAGGTACAGGGCAGGTGAGGCTTTCAGGCAAAGCTGGAGTTCCCAGTTTAGTCACCTTTGTGGGGCACATAATAAAAAAAGGCTCCCTGTCTCCAGAAATGCCCCATGAAAGTGTACTTTGGCAAAGGAAGAGGCCTCCCTTACCCGCTCTGTGTGACTGAGACACAGTTAGCAGAGGAATAACAGTTTTTGTGGAAAGTAGAAGAGCCCAAGCCAGTTCTGATGGAGCTGTGTGGGCCACCATAGGGAGAGAAGCTCCCCCACCCTGCCCCGCCTGACAAGGCCAAGGATTAGTGGAGATCCTTGAGTGCTGGGCACCGCCCACATACTGGTAGGGTTGTTTGTGAGGATAGGTTAGAATCAGGAGGTTAAGAAGGAGAGGAGGAGCTGGGGTGAGGGCGATGAAACTTTTCAGCCTGGCTTCAAGGCCCTGAGAGGACAGTTAAAGGAGGTAACAGTCACCAACAGAAGAACTTGCACAATCTGTCAGGATTTAATAGCCCTTGGTCAGGAAGGAAGTGAGGGTCAGAGAGAGAGGTAAAGGTTGGGTTACTCAGAGGCACTGGGTCCTAGACCCTGTCTAGTTGGACTGAGTCCTCCTAGCGCTCCATCCAGACCTTGTGGAAGGGAGCAGACAGGTATCCAAAACCCTCTTTACGGTCCCCACAGCCTGCCCATTGCAGGCCTCAAAGCCAAAGCTTCTCCCCTCTGAGTTGACTTTCCTTCCTTTACTCTCCTTCTTCACCTCCTTTGCAGGAAGGGATGACCCTTGGTAGTTTGGGATTGTCTCTGCCACACTGAAGTCACCTCATCACTGGGAGAGCAGCCCTGTGCCTCATACAGGTGCTCATTGCCCAATGAATTCTGCCTTCAGATCTTGGGCTTCTCTTCCAGGACAGCTGACTTGGAGGACTGTGGTCTGTTTTTAGCAATGTCGGCATATTCTACAGCCAGAAATGGGTCAGGTATGGGCTTCAGGTTGGGGCGGGTGTTGATGTAGATGGAGTCCTCAGGGCTGAAGTGGCTCAGGTGGGTAAGTGAGGCATAGTGGATGTCCCCAGTGTCCTTGCCAGTGTCCATCTGCTGATCAGAGCCCTGGAAATCAAAGAAGACATATGTCCATTATACGATCGGTCAGTGGCCTCCTGGGTGCCCAGAGCTGGATGGAGGACAGGGAAAGGGATATAGTGTGGGACAGGGTATGGATCTTGCAGAGCCTCTGGGAATGGCTGAAGACAGCAAGGGCGCTGTCACTGATCAGACTTAAGATTAAGGAAGGCTACACAAGGTGTGGTCGGTGGACCCGCAGCACTGGCATCACCAGGAGCTTGTTAAATATACACAATCTTAGGCTCCGCCATCGGATCTATTAAAGCAAAGTCTGAGGGTCTGGGGGCCAGGAAACTCTGTTATAATAAACTTTCCAGTTGACCATGGTGTACACTCAAGTTTGAGTGGCATTGAGCTAGAAGAGCACTCAGTAGGGATGTCATTTGTAGAGTTGATTCCAGCCTTACAGAGGGTTGGATTTTAGAGCCTCTCAATTCTGTGATTTCAAGAGTCTCCAGTTTTTCTTTTTCTTTTTATTTATTTATTTATTTTATTTTTCTTTTTCTTTTTTTTTGCTGGCATTTTATTTTAATTTTAATTTTTATTTTTTTGCTGGCCTTGGTTAATGAAATCCAGTAAGTTTCAGGTGTACAATTTAACAGTAAGGCATATATATATATATTGCATTATGAGTTCCCC